CAACCTCCGTCTCCCAGGTTCAAGTGATTCTCTTGCCTCAGCCTCCTGAGTAGCTGGGACTACAGGCATGTGCTGCCATGCCTGGCTACTTTTTGTATTTTTAGTAGATACGGGGTTTCACTATGTTGGCCAGGCTGGTCTTGAACTCCAGACCTCGTGATCTGCCTGCCTTGGCCTCCCAAACGGCTGGGATTACAGGTGTGAGCCACAACATCCACCTGACCCTGTCTCTTTAATAAAATTAAAAAGTGTGGGGGGGGGGAGGTTACATACTGTTGTCACAATTCTCCAGCTCATTACCTTTGTTCACCTTTAGCATTCCAAAAAATGAGGGAAAACCTTGAGAGAAATGGAATGCAAGTATCAAGTTAAACCTTTGCTTAATTAATGTGCTTACCTACCTTATTTCCACAAAAAGCATGAAGTGACATGACTAACAAAGGCAATTCTATTTTGAAAGATTTGAAAGCAGGAAAACTCATTCTTGCAATTAAGTTCACAGGACTGTGACTTACCGTTTCAATGATTACATTTCAGACCTCTGATAAAACTCATTTTAACGGCTGAATAAAATCAAGCTTAGATCATAACTGAACATAATACCTAATGAAGCACAGATAAAACAGTGGTAATTTACTGTAAGAACTCAAACAGATATTTCACACTATTTACAACCACTTAGAATAGTAGCCGCCCATTTAACAACAGTTAACTTTTTAAAACTAGGTACTACCTGCTACTGGGGGAGGTAAAGGTCCATTTGAACTAAGTGTCACTAGCAGCGAATTAACAGCTAAATTTATGGAACATCTGTTATGAACCAGGATTTACACCAGGTCCTTTTCATTATTCTTTTCATCCTCACAGCAACACTGTGGAATATATTAAGTTGCATAAAGTCACAGCTAAAGCTGGGCACAGCAGCTCATGCCTGTAATCCCAGCACTTTTGGAAGCCAAAGCAGGTAGATCACGAGGCCAAGTTTGAGGCCAACCTGGCCAACATGGCAAAACCCCACATCTACTAAAAATACAAAACTTAGGTTGGGCTGGTGGTGTGCACCTATAATTCCAGCCACTTAAGAGGCTGAGGCATGACAATTGCTTGAACCTAGAAAGCAGACTTTGCAGTAAGCAGAGATTGCACCACTGCACTCTAGCCTGGGTGACAGAGCAAGACTCAAAAAGAGAGTCACAGCTAAAAAGGGACAAACTGGTTTTAAACCCAAGTGTGACTACTTCCACTATACTGGTTGCCGGGCACGGTGACTCATGTCTATAATCCCAGCACTATGGAAGGCCTGAGCGGGCAGATCTCACTTGAGGTCAGGAGTTTGAGACCAACCTGGCCAATGTGGCAAAACCCCATCTCTAAAAATATGAAATTTAGCTGGGCATGGTGGTGAATGCCTGTAATCTAAGCTACTTGGGAGGCTGATGCTTGAGAATCACTCAAATACAGGAGGCAGAGGTTGCAGTGAGCCAAGATTGGGCCACTGCACTCCATTCTGGGCAAGAGTGAGAGGCTCTGTCTCCCACACACACACAAAAAAAAGCATTGTGGAAACAGGATTTTTAAATATTACAAAGTCAACATAAACACAAGTATTTTTTGAAGGTCCCCAATGATACCAATGGTATAGTTAAGTGTGGGCCCCATCACTACACATGCTCTTATATATATTGCAAGGTGGGACACTGTTGCACTGAACATGCTTCAGCAGTGTCCTTCAACCAGACCTAATGATATAATACACTGTAGCTTCAATTGTGTCACAGTAGTTCTACAAAACAAATACTCCATAAGGGTAGGTGGAATGAATTTAAAGTTTCTACGTTAACTCTGTAAGTGAACAAACATCCACAATTACAAAACTTGTTAAACTAGGTAATTACAATACATTCTCAAGTCCTGAACTACAAATTTTTCGGGTCCACATGTCCTGTAATTACACAAATATATGTATTTTTCCCCCCTTTTGAGACAGAGTCTTGCTCTGTCACCCAGGCTGGAATGCTGTGGTACAATCTTGGCTCACGGCAACCTCCACCTCCCAGGTTCAAGCGATTCTCCTGCCTCAGCCTCCCAAGTAGCTGGAATCACAGGCATGTGCCACCACATACCACTACATTTTGTATTTCTAGTAGAGATGGGGTTTCACCAACTTGGCCAGGATGGTCTCGAATTTCTGACCTCAGATGATCTGCTGGACTTCGCCTCTCAAAGTGCTAGGATTACAGGCATGAGCTACTATGCCTGGACTATCCTCATTATCTGTATCAACTTAGTTTACATAATTATTGAGCATTCAATTATCTAATATCAGATTAAAGACGGGGTGTTAAAAACAAGTTAAGATATTCCTAAATTTAAAATGTCTATATAACCACATTATAATGGTATATATAAACACTAGCAAAAAAAGGACTAAAAGTATTTTAGGGGGAACCAGATCCTTCAACATACTGAATTTCATTAATATAAATCTGATTTTATTAAGTCAATCTGATTTTTTAGATTAACACTACTAAGTTTATTTCAATTCTAACAAATTATCTGTGGAAATTAATATTCTAATCCTTATACTAAAATCAAGCAAATAATTTTTAAAATGCTACTTTAAATCATTAACCCTAGGTAATTTTGCTTAATTATATTTTATACCAAAATAAGGGGGGCTGGTAAAGAATTAGTGACAGGGACTTAAAAGGAACCAAGAAATTTGGGGGAAGAAATTATGTTCACTTAGTTGTAGGTGAAAACACTGTAAATTGTATGCTTTACCTGCTTAAGTCAATTTATACCTCAATAGACTGTTTTAAAAAAAAAAAAAAAGCTACAGAAAAAATAAGCTTTAAAGAGCCAAAATTGCTTTTCAGATTTCCAGGGCCTAGTTCTGAGTTCAGCAAGCCCACAATATATCTAATTTAACTAGTTTCTGTACTTGTAGGCTCCTTTTCAAATATGGTCCAAGCTCTTTATCAGCTGCCCATTAGACAGCAAGCTAGAACTACATTAAACTGTTTTTTTTGTTTGTTTGTTTGTTTGTTTTTTGTGAGACTGAGTTTCACTCTTGTTACCCAGGCTGGAGTGCGATGGCAGGATCTCGGCTCACCGCAATCTCCGCCTCCTGGGTTCAGGCAATTCTCCCGCCTCAGCCTCCTGAGTAGCTGGATTACAGGCACGCGCCACCATGCCCAGCTAATTTTTTGCATTTTTAGTAGAGACAGGGTTTCACCATGTTGACCAGGATGGTCACAATCTCTTGACCTCGTGATCCACCCGCCTCGGCCTCCCAAAGTGCTGGGATTACAGGCTTGAGCCACCGCGCCCGGCCCTAACTGTTCTCTTAAGCTACATGCATGGCTCCAACCCCTCATAACCAAGCTTGTTAATGTCATTAGCTTAATGCATAGAATAACCATACCACTGTACTTTACCATATTTATAAAGAGTAAATTACTAAACACATTCCATATCACAATGTATGAAAGCACAATAAACATGAGTTAACTGCTGGTAAATGGGAATTAAGGCAGAAAAAAAATTGTCTTAATATAAGAAAGATGCCAAAAACCAAAATTACAGAATCTTTCTGAAAGTAGTAAGGTAGATCTCAAATGTAGACCACATTCCTCAGGTTCCTTCTAGCTTGTTTTTGCAAATACAGGTTGTATCTAATAGATTTCATTAATCTATTAAGCAAATAGTACAATATAAGAGTCTCAAAGACATTCAATATGTGATACTGACAGCTTTGTGAAAGCATGCTTTACATTGTCCTGTGGCTAATACTAACTACATTTAACTTTAGCTGATTAGATTGAATTGTGGCAAATTATATAGTAAAAGCTTATTTTAAGAATAAGGTGTATTTAATATTTTATTACCATTCTAACACTTCCTCAAGTTTTGTGGGAGTGTGCTAGTGTGTTGTTTTTGTTTTAATTTCCCCATCACCACCAGTCTCAGAGGGAACAAAAAAATACAGCTTCTGGTGAAAGGTGGGGAGTCCGGGTAGGGTATTTAAGTAGAAATAGCAAAAAAACACTGCAGCCATCTGCGAAAACACCATTTTAAAAAACAACAAACACTTAGGATTAAATCTGACATAAAACCTCAAACATGTTTGCCCTAAGACAATGCTCTTTACAATTAGAATATATTTAAACATGAGGGAGAGCTAAAAGCAAATGAGGGTAAACAAAACCAGAAAAATTAAAATACAAATATACACAGAGCCAAAATATCCTTTCAGTCAGCAGCAAAACAGAAATAATTCCAAAATTAATGTGCAAATGAAAATAGCTGGTTAACAGTCATTCATTTAATAAACTTGTATATTTGATAATGAAAAGGCTTAGCTTTCCTTTTCTAACCTCAGAAAGTAATCACCTTCTTTAATAAGGTATTACTTTGAAAAGTATGACTTCAACAAGTGAATGCATCATGTTTAGAGTGTGTTTATATTTAGAAACAATACCTTGAACACTAAACAACAATATTCTGAAAATCGAGTTTATTTTCCATGTGGACAGATCCAGTCAGTGTGATCAGTTTTTCTGCATGTGTAATAATTTATCAAAATAAGTTTTCCCACAAGACTCTTTTCCATCATCAACTCTGAAAACCCTGGTCTGACAACATACCCAAATAAAGCTTTTGAAAATCACCTCTTAAAATTTGGAAGAAAATGTGGCAAGTCTTTCCTGTGACATTTACTGGACTACAAATGGCTAAAGAGCATTATGTTTTAAAAGGTGAATAGTACAACAGCTGAGTTCAGGAAATTGTTTTAGTGCACTTTGCTCCAGTTTTAGCCAACATGCTACATTTTCCTTTTTGGTTTTTTGTTTTTCTGTTTTTTTTGTGACGGGAGGAGAGGGGGACCACACAAAGGTGGCTTGAGGATTTCCATTGTACGAAAAAGGTAAGACTCTGCAAGCAAAACAGTGTAAGCTGCCTTTTTTCTTAAGACCTGGACATTTTAAGACAGAAGCTTTGCAAAACATTACACAATTTTTTATTATTAAATGAGAAAATCTCATTTGTTACATCGTCACATTGCTAGTCAGAGAAATGTTGCAGTGATGAAGAAAGTCAATGCTGGACCAACCAAAGTCCTCATTCCTACAACATTCATTTACAAAGAAATAATGTTCAACACAGCCCAACAAAACATTCTTGGTTTTCTTCATATTGAAGTCCCCCAAAAAATCCTCTTCTAATGGGGTATTTCACTACATAAATTATAGTTCTTCATTTTTACAATTCACCCCAAACTGTATGAGAGATGTATCACACTAAGATTTCTAAAGCTGTTAGGAAATCTTTCACACATCGTCGTCATCTGATGTGTCACTGCTACTTGTTTCTGTGTCATCATTCTCAACTGTGGGTTTGAAAGTGCTGTTCTTCCAGGGTCCAAACTTGAAGTCACAGATCAGGCCATTTTTCAAAATACCATTTTTTCTAAGACCATTCTTCTGTAACTAAAATGTTAAAAGCAAAATAAATTATCCCTCAAGAGTTGCAAACCTACTGTAATAATTAAATATAAGCATAAAGATAATAAAATTGTATCATATCCCAAAAATTTCACAAGTAATGATATTTCCAAAAAACATTCTGGATCCAGACAAAGTAGATATGAGTAGTAATTGTCACACTGATTAAGGTACTAAACTTTTCCCCATTTTTATTACCTCAAGTGAAAACTAATAAATACCTTCAGGGACTGCACAGAATAAAATCAGAAACCATTAAGCTATATCTGTTACTTTTATTATTCTGACCTAAATTAATACACCCCACAATCTGCTTTATTCACAGTCTGTAAAGTAGAATGAGGTATACAAAGTTACAAAATAACCTCTTAACCAGAGATATAGATACTAGAAAAAATACAGTTCTGAAAATGAGAGATCATAACTAAAAGGTTAGTTGGTAGTAAGAATTCGGTTAAAAGATCATCAAAGAGGAAAAAAAGATAGTTGGCTCAAATTAGAAATGATTTAAAGATAGAAAATAAGCCCAGAGTAGAGGCACAAGCCAGTAGTCCCCACTACTCAGGAAGCTGAGGCAAGAGTTTGCTTGAGCCCGTAAGTTTGAGGATGCAATGAGCTACGATTGGTCACTGCACCCCAGCCTGGATGACAGAGTGAGACACCAACTCTTTAAATAAATAAAATAAAATAAACAAACCAAAAAAAAAGAAAACAAACAAACAAAAAAGACCTAAATAAATAAATAAATAAAATGATGGATTTGGAAAAAACATTTCAACTTCCTAATGCTCTAACAAACATTCCCTATTACTCTTTCAGAAAGGTAACTAGGGAGACATTAAGCAAGATGTTTTAGAATATGAAATGCTCTTGTGCAAGAAAAGGATAAAAGGTAAAGATACTTCAGGAAGCTACTAACACACTCTACTTCTTATCACTCTTGCTCCTCCCGACCCAAACACACACACACACACACACACAAGCCAAAACAAAACACAAAAGGTCTGGAAAATTACTATCATGGACATCACTTACACTAATTCCTATGCACACTCAACAGTTTAAAGTCACTATTGCAGACCTGTAAAAATAATTCAATCAGGCACAGTAGTTCGTGCCTGTAGTCCCAGCTACTCCAGAGGAACACCTGGCACCCAGGAGTTCTAGAGGCCAGCTGGACAACACAGCAAAAGCCTGTCTCTTTTTTTTTTTTTTTTATTTTAAAAGGCAATTCTGACCTATTGTGATAAATTCCTAAATAAAAATTTTATAATCTTCCTCACTCCATGCTTACATATAACTATGTTGTTCTAAATGAGGGCAATTTAAAAGTGAAATTGTATGATTTAGGTTTTCTTACCTGTTCACTAATAACTTGGAATTCTCTCATTTCATCCTCAGTTAAGGGAGCACATGTTTCATCATTTTCACTGTCTTCCTGCCAGCCCATTTCCTTTAACAATCTGAAAAGGAGAGGATATTAAGTTTAATTTAAAGCTTACCCTGAGCAGGACAGTTTCATTTATATTAGGTATAAGAAAACATGACCCAAGATCCATTATACAAAGTCTCCAAGACACATCAAAAGGATTTTTGAGCTCAGGTTTTGAATATCTTTCTGAATATGAATAAACAGGTAAGATTAAGTCTAATAAACTTTGATAGTAAAATTAGAATGAACTCCTTGACTGCTTAATCTTTGATGTCAAAGGCTCTTCTCAGGCTGGACACTTGTAACAGACCTGAAGCAAGTATGCTAAATTCTTACACTAAAAGTAACAGCAATACCCCTTTCTCTTTTCTTCAGTACCACCAAAATCCACCGTATTTCTGGTTACTCATTAGGTTTTCTACTTGGGTAATCATAAACACTGGAGCAATACAAACTGCATTTGACTGGGAAACCTCCAAGCTTGTTTCTTATATGGCCATATATCTTATATTGACATGAAAGCGTTTGTTTCTTAAAAATGAAATCCCTAAGTACTTCTGTTACTCCTAGGAGGAGTCTTCAAAAAGTTCATTTAAAAATGTGTATCATGGAAAAATTATAAAAGAATTTCAAGAAAAAATTCTGCACCAAAAAAAATTTGTGCTAACTTGTGGTAGATCTAGTTTAAGGCATCATAAAGGGTAAAAAGACATCAGTTTAAGAAAAGCCCCTATCAGATCAACATGAATTCTGCCAAATCGAAGCAAGAACAAACATCAAATTGATGGTGAAACTTGGGTAGAAGAATGGTGAAATCGTTGATGCTTTATGAAAAGTTTATGGGGACAATACCCCAAAGAAACCAGCAATTTCAAATAGATAACCAATTTTAAGAAAAGATGAGGTAATTCTGAAGATGAAGACCTCAAAGAAGCAGCAGTAGACCATCGAGATTGACTGGCAAGGAAAAATTTAATCTTGTTAATATCCCAACTGAAGAGGACCAATGTTAACAACAGAAATAGCCAACACCACAGACAAGACATCTCACTTGGTTCGGCTTACATAATTCTGACTGAAAAATTAAAGTTGAGCAAACTTTCCACTCAATATGTGCCCAGGTCATCTGCAGACAAAAACAGAGCTTTCAATGGAAAGTTTAAACAACTGGAATCAAGATTCTGCGACATTTCTTCAAAGAACTGCACATGATTTTACCAGTATGATCCAGAAGACAAATCACAATCAAAGCACTAGCTACCAAGAAGTGGAAGTGATCCACTCAAAGCAAAAGAGTATGAGCGTTTTGAGAAGAAAAGCTAAAGTTTTAGCAGAAAAATGCCTAAAAAAGCCTCACCAGAGAGTCCTTAACCACAACAATACTCCTACTCATTCCTCTCATCAAACAAGGACACTTCTGCAAAGTTTCAATAAATCATTAGACATGAACCTTTCAGTCCAACTTTGGCTCCTTCTGACTTCCCAGTTTCCTAATCTTAAAACAAGTTTTAGAGGGGGCCCATTTTTCTTCAGTTAGTGTAAAAAAGACAGCACTGACATGGTTAAATTGCCAGGGCCCTCAGTTCTTCAGGGATGATCTAAATGACTGGTATCATTGCTTGAAAAGGAGTCTTGAATTTGATGGAGTTATGCTGAGAAACAGTTAATATTTTTTGGTTTTATCACTTAATTACATTGTTCCACAAACTTTTAATTCCCCTCTTATTTACACCTGCTCATCTTTAATTTGTGCCTGTTACACATTAGTGGCTTATAGACTTTTCTTTTTTTTTTTTTTTTTTTTTTGAGATGGAGTCTCACTCTGTCACCCAGGCTGGAGTACAGTGGCACGATCTCAGCTCACTGCAACCTTCACCACCTGGGTTTAAGCAATTCTCTGCCTCAGCCTCCCGAGTACCTGGGATTACAGGCAAGTAACCACCACACCCAGCCAATTTTTTGTATTTTTAGTAGAGATGGGGTTTCACTATCTTGGCCAGGCTGGTCTTAAACTCCTGACCTTGTGATCCACCTGCCTCAGCCTCCCAAAGTGGTGAGATTACAGGTGTGAGCCGCCGCACTCAGCCCCCTTGCAGACTTTTATGCCTTTTTTCAAAGAGTCTCTCATAATATCTGAGACCCTGAATAAAACATAACATGATATTCACATTTTACAGATGAAGACTGAAGATCACATAAGTAAAATGTGATGCCTACTTGATGGCAAAGAGAAACAGAATTTTGGTTTTCTGCCTCCCAAATTAGTATGTATTGCACAGCACCTTGTTGCTTCTGAACCAGAATGTCACAGTCAGCATCAATCATTTCTTCTTCCATTGCCACAACTTCTTCCAATGCACTGTCTTTACTCTTTAATCTGGATGGCCTCATTTTGGAATAGCATTTCTATTCACTGACACCTGACACAGAGAATATACTAGACTAGCCAAACAATGTAACTGCTCTTTTGCTGGATCCAAACTTTTACCTGTTTTACTTTTAAACTGAATGGTAACTAAGCAATAACACAGGTGGAAAAAATTATGAACTATTATGAAAGAGAATATAACAGAATGCAAGTACTTCCAATTCTCCACCAGAGGCTGTAGCTTTTAACTGTTCCTGAAATAGCTTTCAAAATAATCTAACCAGTCAGGGCGGCTCATGCCTGTAATTCCAGTCTCTTTAAGAAACCAAGGTGGGAGGATCGCTTGAGCCCATGAGTAAGACCAGCCTGAGCAACAAAGTGAGACCCCATTTCTACAAAAAAATAATAAAAATAAAAACAAATAATTTGGGTGTTTCACTTTCCCCCATAAATATGCAAACATGTGCCACATATTTACATTTCAGTCAGATAACTGCACATATGATGCATAATCCCATGAGATTGTAATGCCATTTTTTTACTGTACTTCTGTATATTTTTAGATATGCTTAGATATAAAAATACATACCAATGCATTATAATTACAAATAATGTACAATATTCAGTACAGTAACATGCTATACAGGTTTGCAGTCTAGAATTAACAGTCTATACCATATAGCCTAGGTATGTAGGTTATACCATCTAGTTTGTGTAAGTACACTCTATGAGTTTCACACCATGACAAAAATCACCTAACAACACATTTATCAGAATATATCCCTATCATTAAGCAATGCATGACTGACTATATTACTGTAACACTCATCTGTACTTTGCTTTTTCATTTAAATTATTCTTTCCCACTCTCCTTCAAACTATTGCCAAATCATCCTGATACCTGTTTCATAATTACCATCCTTTGATAAATATTTCAGTGTCTTCTCATTTTCTAGAGAACAAACTCCTTAATTGTGTTTGTGCCATGGTCACAAATACAAATTCCTCAGTAGAGAAAATCTAGGATTAGAAGTTAGAAGACCTAGGCCACAGTTTCTACACTACCACAAGCCAAGTATAAGAGATCTCTTATATAAGTATCTCTTATACTTATATACTCTTCTAAGTCCTGCCTTTTCAATATGATCTTTAACTTCAGTAAGTAAACTGCCTACTCCTGTCAAAATATTCCACTCAACACCCTCAAAACAAACTAAGTAATACACCACTCTAACCATGTCTTCACATCCCTTCTTTTTCCAAAATACTATCTAACACCCTTGCCCTTATTTGTGTCTAACCCCTTCACGATTTAATTTAGGTCCAAAGTAAAACTTTCTGACTAGGGCCAGGCATGATGGTTCATGCTAATCCCAGCAATTCAAGAGGCCAAGGCAGGAGGATTGCTTGACACTAGGAGTTCAAGACCAGCCTGGGCAATATAATGAAACCACGTCTTTAAAAAATAAATATTTATATGAGTGGGTGAGAGGAAGAAAGGAAAGGAAGGATGGAGGGAGGGAAAGAAGGAAAGGAAAGGAAGAAAAGAAAAAAAGGAAAAAGGAAGGAAGGAAAGAAAGAAACCTCTTACTGGTACCCAAGTCATAACGATCTCTATCCCTAAACCCACTGAATTTCTTTGGCATTTATTTCCACTAATTCATTTGGTGCTTGCTTAAACAAGCTGACAACTATATCCCTTTGATGTTGAGGCTACCCTCAATACCCTGATAAAGTTGCTAAAACTTGACATTAAAAATGAGTATTTCGTATTTTAATGTTGGAAAATAATGATCTTTAAAAAGCCTATCACTGTCCCATGATTGTTAAATTCAACTAATATTAGTATTTATATGTATATAACTTAAGAAATCACAATTAAAGTTTACAGAAAATATAAAGCAATGGAAAAGAAATATCATTGCATTTTGACATGGAAAAAAAAAAACCCTAAAATCTAAAAGCCATGAACTCTCTTTAGAATGGGGGAAAAGGTATTCATATATGTCTTTGAAACATTTACAAACACATATTCTACTTAAACATCAAGAAAACTCAAGCTAAGAAATTTAAATAAAAACAGTTCCGTATCAACACCTTGACTTCCTCCCTTTATTGTCTTAGGATCTTTTTCAGCATGTGCAATATTTCTTCAAAACGATCCCTCTATTCCAACTAGCTGCTACCAAATCTGAAATATTGAATCCACAATTTTATTCTATTCTTGGCAAATAACAAAATGTTCTTATCGTCTGTCCCCTTCATCTTCATGTTCATACTAATGGTATTCCTATGCATAACTAACTCTCTCTCTTTAACCAAGTTTTTTCCCCTAAAATATACATTTTGTTATAAAATTTCATTATCTAATTTAGATTAGATATAATAAATTAAATATATAAATATGATTGCCTTATTTTATAACAAAACAGGAATAGATGGGGGGGGGGCAAAAAACTTGGTTAAAAACTTTCAGAGTAACCTAAATAAAGAGAAGTATCCATTCTTTCAAAAAGACAAAATAATCCATAAAGTCTCAAAAAAATTAATAATCAAGTAGGTTATCACTGATATCATCTCTTCATGCAGTATGGGTTTCTCTCCCTCACTCTAGAGCTTACTCCAATTTAGGATGTTTTGGTCTTTTTTATTTTTTGAGATGGAGTCTTGCTCTGTCGTCCAGGCTAGAAAGCGCAGTAACACGATCTCAGCTCACCATAACTTCCACCTTCTGGGTTCTAGAGATTCTTGTGCCTCAGCCTCTTCAGTAGCTGAAAATACAGACACACACCACCAAGCCTGGCTAATTTTTGAATTTTTAGTGGAGATGGTGTTTCACCATGTTGGCCAGTCTGGTCTCACACTCCTGGCCTCAAGTGACCCACATGCCTCAGCCTCCCAAAGTGCTGGGATAGAGGTGTGAGCCACAGTGCCCAGCCAGATGTTTTCATCTTGATTTGCCTTAGTTTCTAAATCTCATCCTCTCCATTTTCTCCTGTTAGTAGTCACAGAGAACCAAATTCTGTTAAGTTATGAAACTAAAGTCTCTCTTTCCTAAGTCTTCTTGAATGAAACAAGAAGCCACCAAAATGCTTCCTGCACTAAATTCTGCTCTGCAGACTAAAAAGTAAAATAGTTAAAACATTCAATATGTCTATTAGAGGCTGTAATAAATATTTTCTAAAGGTATAAGCCAACTGTTTTTTGCTACTAAGTACTGAAGGGAAATATGAAGATATCAGGTGTCAACTTTCTCACTATGGCCTTAATGAATAGATTCTGTGGGTTAAAACCTCTTGTAACTGTATTCTTTCATTGTCTAATCTCTACCTCCCTAAGCGGTAACTCATCTTTTACTATCACTAGAATATCTGATTTGTGTATTACTCTGCTTTCTACACACAGGCCTTTTTCTTTTCTACCAATTGTGTTACTAGAATTGTTTCAACGATCACTGGTGAGAGTGCCAATTACCAGAATGTTTTTGTATGTAACCGATTATTTTAAATACGTATGTCATTTGACCAATGAAATTCACTCCTAGTAAACTGTTACCTACACATTTATACATATATTCGAGAATATAAACTTATACTTTTCTTTTCTCTTCTGATAACAGCATTATTTGGAATAAGGGGGAAGAGGGGACGGGGACAAAAGAGGAAGAGAGAGGAAGGGAAGAGAAAAGGAGACAAAAGAGAGAGGACGTGAACACACATAAACCTTGATACAGAAAAATAGTTTCACAATTTATATCCATACTATAGAATAGTGGATTCAAATGGGGGATGGGGAGAAACAAGATGATTCACAGAATGACAAAATCATTCTGAAATTTCAATTACTGTTAATCTTTTTAAAAAAAGAATTCACGTTTACTAAATTTTTTCTGTATTTGACTCATAGAATGATGAAATCATCCTGAAATTTCAATTACTGTTAATCTTTTTAAAAAAGAATTCATGTTTACTAATTTTTTTCTGTATTTGATATTTCAGCCATCACTCAGCCTATCAGTCACAAGTCATAAACTTATTATGTGGTAACCTGAAGTTCCATAATTTAGGAGGCAATAAGAATAGGGTCGTTACTTATTCATCCATTCACATTAAATGTACAGTAAGAAATTATATTTTATCTAAACAAGTGAATTTATAAATATCTGGTTAAGTTAGTTATAAATTAGTCTAGCTAAATTAATTTTCAAGTGCATTTATCAACAACCCAATAAATTATTTTAGGAGAAAATTAAGTCCAAATATAAAAATACGAAGATTACAATTTTTCTTTCTTTCTTTTTTTTTTTTTGTTTTTTTTTTTTTTTTTTGAGACAGTCTCACTCCGTTGCCCAGGCTAGAGTGCAGTGGCACGATCTCGGCTCACTGCAGCCTCTGCCTCCTGGGTTCAGGTGATTCTTCTACCTCAGCCATCTGAATAGCTGGTATTACAGGCATGCGTCTCACCATACCCAGCTAATTTTTGTATTGTTAGTAAAGACAGGGTTTCACCATGTTGGCCAGGCTGCTCTCAAACTTCTAACCTCAAGTAACCCACCCACCTTGGCCTCCCAAAGTGCTGGGTTTGCAGGCATGAGCCACCACACCCACCCTACAAAATTAAAACAAATACCTAAAAATTCACATACAGTAGTTACGGTTACATTTAAGAAGCAAAACAGTACATGATTTGGAGAAGGGGAACAAAAATGATCACACAGATAATATAATGTATGATTAAAGACAGAAGGATAAAGGATTTATTCTGAACCGATCTAAGAAAAAAAAAAAAGCGGGGAGGGAGAAGGGCTGGTCATGTTGGCTTTAATCCCAGAACTTTGGGAGGCTGAGCCAGGAGGATTGCTTGAGCCCAAGAGTTTGAGATCAGCCTAGGCAACATGGCGTAACCCCGTCTCTACAAAAAAAGTTAGCCAGGCATGGTGGGTATGCACCCATAGCCCCAGCTATTCAAATGGCTGAGGAGGGACCATCACTTGAGCAGTATCAGTGAACCATCACTGCGTCACTGCACTCCAGGCTAGACAAAGGAATAAGACCCTGCCTCAAAAAAAAGAAAAGAATGTGAGAAGATCTAGCCAGGTGGCTCATGTCTCTAATCTCAGCACTCTAGAGGCCGAGGCAGGAGTATCACTTGACTCCAGGAGTTTGAGACCAGCCTAATAAACACAGTGAGACCTCATACTTTTTTTTAATGGGGTGAGTATAACTTTTGGCAGTAGAAATATAAACTAAACTATTAAGCATTTGAAAAAATTGGAAATAAAAAGCAAAAGCAAAATATTCCCAGCAGCTGGGCGCAGTGACTCAAGCCTGTAATCCCAGCACTTTGGGAGGCCGAGGCGGGTGGATCACGAGGTCAAGAGATTGAGACCATTTCTGTCAACATGGTGAAACCCCGTCTCTACTAAAAATGCAAAAAATTAGCTGGGCATGGTGGCGCGTGCTTGTAATCCTAGCTACTCAGGAGGCTGAGGCAGGAGAATTGCCTGAACCCAGGGGGCGGAGGTTGCGGTGAGCCGAGATTGCGCCATTGCACTCCAGCCTGGGTAACAAGAGCGAAACTCCGTCTCAAAAAAAAAAAAAATTCCCTCAAAATAAGTACAGATTTACAAAACAGGTAGAAAAATACTGCAATGTTTACTTCACTCATTCATTTAACAAATTTAAGCAAAGTAATGTGCCAAGCACCATTCTAGGTGCTAGATACAGTAGTGAACAAAATGGACAAAATGTCTGGCCTTGGCTGGGCACGGTAACTCATGCCTGTAATCCCAGCACTTTGAGAGGAAAGGCGGGCAAATCACGAGGTCATGAGATCAAGACCATCCAGGTCAACGTGGTGAAACCCCGTCTCTACTAAAAATACAAAAGTTAGCTGGGTATGGTTGTGCATGCCTCTAAGTCCCAGCTACTTGGGAGGCTAAGGCAGGAGAATCACTTGAACCCAGGAGGCAGAGGTTGCAGTGAGCCAAGACCAAGCCATTGCACTCCAGCTTGGGCAACAAGAGCTAAACTCCATTTCAAACAAACAAACAAACAAAAAACGTTTACAATAAAAACTAAACCACAGGCTGGGTACTATGGTTCATGCCTATACACCTAGCACTTTGGGAGGGCAAGGCAGGAGGATCACTTCCACTCAGGAGTTTGAGGCTAGCCTACGGAACACGGCAAAATGTTCATCTCTACAAAAAAAACACAAAATGAGCTGGGTATGGTGGTACACACCAGTGGTCCCAGCTACTTGGGAGGCTGAGGTGGAGGGATCACTTGAGTCTGGGAGGCCAGGATTACAGTAAGCTGATAAGGCACCACTGCACTCCATTCAGCCTGGATGACAGAGTGAGACACTGTCTCAAAAAATAAATCACATACTGGGACAATTAGCTATCCATGTGGGAAACACATGAGAAAGAATAAATTTGGACTCCTACCTCACATCATCCAGAAAACATGCATAAACCATACAAGGAAAAAAATAATGAACTGTACTTCATCAAAATTAAAACTTTCTGCCCTTCAAAGTGCACCACTGAAGCTGAGTGTGGTGGTACAAGCCTGTAATCCCAGTTACTAAGGAGGATTACTCCAGTCTGGGCAACATAGAAAGACCTCATTTCAAAAGGCACCTGTGGGTAGGAGGTGGTTGCACTACTGAGAGAATGAAAAACTCACAAAATGGGAGAAATTATCTGCCAATCATATACATAAGAGACTTATTTGCAAATATATAAAGAACTCTTACAACTTAGTAATAAGAAAAAGTAATTTTTAAATGGGCAAAGTATTTAAATAGGTATTTCTCCCAAAAGAGGATAAATGGCAAACAAGCACATAAAAAGATATTAAACACTATTAGTCATTAGGGAAATGTACACTAAAAACTATAAAAAGAAATCATACTTCATACCCACTAGAAGACTGTAATCAAAGATAGATGGTACCAAATGCTGGTACGAATATAGAGAAATTGCTAATGAGGAAGTAAAATGACAGTCATTTTAGAAAATAGTTTGGCAGTTTCTAAAAATGTGAAACACAGAGCTAACATAAGCCCCAACAATTCAACTCCTAGGTATCTACCCAACAGAAATAAAAACGTATCCACACAAGAACTTATATATGAATGTTCACAGCAGCATTATCCAAAACAGTCAGAGTAGATTATATTGGACTAGAGCCTATTGTTTAAAAAAAGAGGTGAAACAACTGATATTCATCAACTGATGAACAAAAAAGCAGTATAGTCATACAATATACTATTCAATAACTTAAAAAAACCCATAGTACTGACATGTACTTACAATGCAAATAAATCTTGAAAATATTATATTTAGTGAAAGCAGCTAGACATCAAACATCACATACTATATTTTACTACCTATATAAAATACCCATACAAGGCAAATCTATAGAAAGAAAAAGAAGAGGAGCTACCTAGGATAGAGTGCAAATGAAAAGTAAATGCAAATGAACAAAGGGCTACTTTGAATATATTAAAATATCATCTGTACATCAAATGGATGAAATTTTTGTCATAAGATATATCTCAATAAACCTGTTAAATCAAACAAAAACTCTATATAGAAATCCCGAATACAGAAAATGTTGAGGAAAAAGTAAAAACGAATACTAGCCTGTGTTCTGCCTCAAGCGAACTTGAAAGAACATCAGTTTGTGGGAAGGTTGAAGATCGAATGATCTGTTGGGAAATCACCGAGGCATTGCCATTCTCTTGAGGAATTTCATTTTCATCGAAGTTTCGGTTTATATCCCTTTCTTGGTGAGTACTATTGCTGTTATGTAAATTAAATGAGTCGTCATCCTGATTTTTTAGAGGGTTCAAAAAAAAAAAAAAAAAAGAATGAGTTCTAAAGAATACAGTTATTAAAAACTTTTTCCTAACTAAGCTTCCATTGAAAATATATAACCGTGGCCAGGCACAGTGACGCCTGTAAGCCACTTTGGGAGGCCGAGGTGGGCAGATCACCTGAGGTCAGGAGTTCGAAACCAGCCTGGCCAAAATGGTGAAACCCCATCTCTACTAAAAATACAAAAAAAATTAGCTGGGCATGGTGACAATGCCTGTAGTCCCAGCTGCTTGGGAGGTGGAGGCAGAAGAATTGCTTTAACCCAGGAGGTAAAGGTTGCAGTGAGCCAAGATCATGCCATTGCACTCCAGCCTGGGCGACAAGAGTGAAACTTTATCTCAATCCATCAATCAATGTAATACTTTTAATTATTAAGTTTAGAAATGGAAAACTAAGCTGGGATGGATATCCAAAGCTTTCTTGCCCTAAGTATTCATAGGTATACAACAATGACAAAACTTTAAAAGCATGAAGGCAGACAAGATGGGAGAAGCAAAAGAAAACAGAGATAAACAAGAATGTTTTTTAAATTTACTTTTCCATAGGTACTACAGAATGAAGCAAATCTACTTTAGAAAGGAAGTCACAGCCAGGCACGGTGGCTCATGCCTGTAATCCCAACACTTTGGGAGGCCGAGGCAGGCGGATCACCTGAGGTCAAAAGTTCAAGAGCAGTCTGGCCAACATGGTGAAACATCGTCTCTACAAAAAATACAAAAATTAGCCAGGCCTGGTGACACATGCCTGTAGTCCCAGCTACTGGGAAGGCTGAGGTGCAAGAATCGCTTGAACCTGGGAAGCAGAGGTTGCAGTAGGCCAAGATACGCCATTGCACTCCAGCTTGGGTGACAGAGTGAGACTTCATCTCAAACAAACAAGGGGCAGTCGAGGGGAGAGGATAAGTCATTATTTATGCAAATGGATTTCCAATCTTCTTTCCAAGGAGATGATTCTAATGTATTCCAAGGTCCAAATACATGCTCAAGTATTTCAATGACATATCAGTATCACATATTGCTATAAATTAAATTACCTTCTCTGAGCCAGCACGGCTTTCATCTTCATGTTCCTCTTCTACTCTGTCTCTTTTCAGTGCTTTCAAAAATTCACTCTTCTTATCAGTGCGCATTCGTGTCAGTTTGGTTAGACGAGGCTGCTGATTAAGTTTATCAACAGGAGAAGAGGAATTTGAACGATTACACTAAGAGGAAATTCAAAAATAATGATAAATATGTAGTCAAGGAATCAATGTAAGCATAAAATTCACTACTACCACAGCTTCCTATTTTACATTTATTCACAAAACAAAATTGATTGTCCATGTGAAAGTCTAGTTCTTTCTATTCCTATTTTTTCCCCTACTGAATGAGTCAACAAAAGAATTTTCTTATCCCACAAACAATGAAGGTCTGATAATACTCAGAAATACGATTTTAAATTAGGCATCATTATTTTATAAATACATCCTAGAATTATTTAAATTTTTTTATAATACACAAAAGAGCAACTTTTCAAACTGTGTTAATCAGAGTTCTAGAGTTCAGTAACAGCTCCAATAAGATCTATTTTATAATTATTTATACACATATATAGGGTTTATCAGAGTGGATCTCACCTGGAAAGATGTTTGTGAGAGGGCAGGGAGGGGAGGAGAAAGAGAGAATCCTTTTGTTTTTGGTTCTTTGGTGTTTTGACAGTGGAAGAGAAACAAAGTTAGAACTCTGTGTCACAGGAATTATTAGTCACAGAAACAAACCATAATAATGCTTACTTGCTGGCATTAATGTTTGTATATTATAACTAATCTCAGCAGAATTAACCAGCTAGGAGTGCTAGTCCTTCCCTCAAAGTTCAAAAATTCCGTGTCTGAGATCATAAATAAAAAGTAGTATATGAGGGGTTATGATGTTCCAATATGGTACCCAAAGCAATTTCAGGTATAATAATATAAATATTCCGGGTGTCCTTTAACACTAGACTGGTCAGGGAACCCTCTGTTCTGGAGTTTCAAAAGCTTGATCAAATGAGAAAGAAATACTGAACTCCAGGTATTCAGTCAGTACCATAACAATACACACCTTTCTCTCTTGTTCCTCCTCTCTCCTCGCTTCAATGTTAACACTAATAAAGTATCCATCATCCCCAAAAGACATTATACAATACAAATCCTTATTATTAAGTTCACTCCTACAGCATAACTATCACAAGTATCAAATAACATTGCAATCTTCATAATTATTTTCTTTAAAATTACTCTTGGTCCAGGTGTGGTGGCTCATGCCCGTAATTCCAGCAACTTTGAGAAGCTGAGGAGAGAGGATCACTTGATTCCAGGAGTTTGAGACCAGCCTGGACAACATAGAAAGACCTTCATCTCTACAAAAAGTAGAAAATTAGCCAGCCCAGTGGCAAGCACCTGTAGTCCTAGAGGATCAGGAGGCTGAGATGGGGGGATTGCTTAAGCCCAGGAGATCGAGACTGCAGTGAGCCACAAGTGAACCATTGTTCTCCAGCCTGAGCAACAGAGACGCTATCCCTCCCACCACCCCTCAAAAAATTATTCTTTATGTTTTTTAGATGTTTGGAAATTCCTCCCCAACCCCCCCCCCTTTTTGAGACAGGATCTCGCTCTGTTACCCAGACTGGAGTACAGTGGCACCATCACAGCTTGCTGCATCCTTGACATTCCGAGACTCAGGTGTTCCTCCCACCTCGGCCTCCCAAGATCTGGAACCAACGATGCATTTCTTTTTTTAAAGTAGAGACGGGGTTTCACTGCATTGCCCAGGCTGGTCTCAAATACCTGGGCCCAAGTGATCCTCCTGTCCCCCTTCCCAAAGTGTTGGGATTATAGGCATGGGCTACCACACCCAGCTGGGAATTTTCATTTTGAATATTTAAATGATTCCTACTTTCCCAAAGTGCAAACTGGTTAACAAATGAAGTATATGCATCCAGTTTCTGAAGGAATGAAACTATCTTATTTTAATGTATTCATTTAATGAATTTCTAACTTTTAATCTTTGTTAAATTATCATGATTAAAATGTTACATTCCTCAAGAGTAATTTTTAATGCCATACCTCTTTCACTGAATTTGTTGATGGACTAAAATTCTTGGCAGTTGATTTAAAAGCATTAAAGTTGCCAACACCATATGTAGATTCATGAGGGAAAGAAGTTCCAACTTTATTTTCTTTTGTCTGGCTTTTCCATTGTGTAGGCTAAAGAAACACACACAAACATTAATGGCTATCAAAAACAGGCTATAGGAGAAAGACAAAAACAGTGACTATTATAAAACAAAAATGACTACACTAGACTCATAAAAACAATTATTTTTGTATCACACTGCATTATTCCTACATAGTTCTCTGTCCCTTTCTTTTTCTACAAATAAAATTAAAACTGAGCATTTAGATAACTAAATTGCTATTTTTTCCAAAGCTACATAAACATTTAAGTTTTCAAAACCTAAAACTGAGCACCAGTTAAAACAACGTTATATATTATCATTAATACATCACCAATACATCTAGCAAGAAAAGAAATTATAAGTTTCACTTACTACTACTAAACAATAGAAACACACACACCACATCAAAGATAATTAAGAGCACATATGGGTCCACTCTTGCCACCTAGAACTCAGCACCCCATGAAGTACCTCTATACACACTTTAAATTCTTTAACATTTTCCCCTCTAGTACATAATTTGGTATCAACTCAAAACTTACATTTGTGGTAATTTAGAACTTACTTTTGTAGGTGGAGCAGCAGGTTTAGGGACTAAACCTTTATAAACACTTGGACCAGTTCCATTCTTAACTGGCTGTGACTGAAGATTTCCTACTACTGGGAATCCAGACAGCTGTAAGTCTTTTGTATTACCTTTCTTAATGACCAGCATCCTTGGAGCTCTAGATTTAGGATTCGGAGGATATTCTGCATAAATAAAGCATGACCAAGAGTCACTCACAATTTCAAATTAGTACTGAATAAAACCACCAAAAGAACTGTATATTCCAAACATTTTTTTTTTTAACTAATAGCTGTCCCCTGGGTAAAATAATTAAACTAAATAAGAACAAACTATATTCAAACTTAAGAAGTAAAGCTAAAACATTATCCCAGAGTATAGGACGAATTGGGCAATGTCAAGTAATACAGATAAATTCTGATAGACAGTGGCCCAGAATGTCAAAACCAAGACAAATTACATTCTATCATGCCTTGCATTCACTATAAAAAATTGCACATTTCATCCTAATGACTCTTAAGACTTAGAATATAAAATACATTTCTATTTTACCCTTCCCCATTTGAAAAGAGAATTAAAATTTCAATTTTTTCATGTTTTTACTCAACTTACAAAGTTATTACCAATAAGCAAGAAATTATATTCCTTTTATGTCTAAATACTTCAGTTATGACTAAGAAAAAAGAATTGTATTTCATGATATAAATTCATCCGTGTATTTATTGACCATTTATCTACATTCAAAGCATTATATGAATACAGAGCAACCAACTCAATCCTGATTTCTGAAGATTGTAATACAAATAATTGCTAAAGGCAGACTTTTCTCAAGACTACTGCAGTTGCTAAAAATAAACACTATTCCTGTACTTTAATCAATGTGTGTTATGTAATCAAACAGATGTTGCAGTGAAGTATGTCTTCTCTTACAAAAACTTTGAAAGCATCAGTTTCACAGTTGGAATGCTTAGAATTAAAGAGAGAAATCCCAGAAATTCCAAATTAAAATGAGTTCTGCAAATTACATAAGATCATGTTTATTAGTGGGCTGGGTAGGTATCTGCAATGATTCCTTCCCCAAAACCTACCTAATGCATCATCTCAAAACCCAAAACTAAATATGAACTCCTAGGGAAACCCAGAGGGACTTTACAGTTCATGGGAGGATTCAATCTCTCCAAAAGATAAAGCTAGTATGGTGCTTCACCTACTTGAAATGCTAAAGGATAAAAAGAACAAGGGCTAAAAATAACCTGAGAAAAGGTTCGTATTTCCAAAAACTCAACACATGTTGACTTAATAGATTAAAGATTCAAACTTCCCGACAGTCAAAAAAAAAAAGCCTAGTATCATCTCTGGCACATAAAAACACAGAAAGTATTACTACCAAAGTATAGCTTTTCTGAAGATATTACACAATAAAGTTAACAAAACAAATAACAATCTTAAACAAAGGACAGTCAAGAATTGTACTACACAATGTAAGATTTCCAATTTTTTTGGTAAACAGATGATGATGACATGGATAAAGTACAAAACAAAGATTCTTGAAATTAATTAATAAACTGTAAGAGAAAATCATAGCATGTAACTCAAAAAAGTAAAACCCAGGAATCCGAAGAATGATCAATGCTAACAAAATGGAGAAAGGTGATCTCATCTGAGAGGAATTAAGGTATTAAAGCAGGGGCAGTTCTATCACTGTACACAAGAAAGTCTAAACACGGCCAACAGAGACTTCTAGTTCAATGTAACTGACTAAGCACATAAGTTTATCTTCTTCTAAATTCTTATGTTAAAATTACTGTGAGAGGAAACCAAACACAACTATACAAAGTAAAAGTAGTCAAATCTAAAAAAATAATTTCAACACGCATTTCTAGAGAAGTAACAAGTTTCAATTTACACATAAGAACCTAACAGCCAAGGAAGGATCTAATCTACCATACAACCTTGAGACTGGGACTTAAAATTGACAGATATGGCAGAGGGCAGAAATGCAACTTTGACAAATAAAAATTAAATAATTCAAGACAAGATCCTTATAAATTCTAAAGAATGTACTTTAGGCAGAAGGAAAATGATCCCATGTGGAAGGCTGAAGACACAAGATTTAAAAAAATTTTACACATATGCAAGCAATGAGAAGCAGACTGGTGTGGTGGCTCATGCCTGTAATCCCAGCACTTTGGGAGACCAGGGTGAGAGGACTGCTTAAGGCCAAAAGTCCACCTGCCTGAGCAATATAGTGAAACTCCGTTTCTACAAAAAAATTTTTTTAGTTAGCCAGACATAGTGATGTGCACCTATGGGGGGAGGGCTGACATAGGAGGACTGCTTGAGCTCAGGAGGTTGAGGCTGCAGTGAGCTGTGATGGCACCACTATACTCCAGTCTGGGCCACTGAGTGGGACCCTGTCTCAAAACAAAAACAAGGAAGCAAAAGAGAAACTAGATAGGCAAGTAGATAAACTGTCTGTAAGCCTCAATATAGTTCCCGAGTACAAATTTCACCTTCCCTAAACTGGATTCCTAGACACCTAGGAATAACAAATATTCTGGCTGGTTCCTCAATGAGGTCTTCAGTGCAAAGAATGACGAAATATCCTATAAAGAAGAAAAGTGAATCCTAAGAAATCATTCACAGAAGAGTAGGTAGCAGAGTAAGAGATGACAAAGGTCCCTGAAGAAAGATGACAGGGACTGAGAGGGAAGCGGAGAGATAAGCCAATATTGTGTTTATTAAGAATTCGTATTAGGCTGGGCACAGTGACTCACGCCTGTAATCCCAGCACTTTAGGAGGCCGAGGTGGGCTGATTACGAAGTCAAGAGTTCAAGACCAGCGTGGCCAACATAATGAAACCCCGTCTCTACTAAAAATACAAAAAATTACTCAGTCATGGTGGCGGGCACCTGTAATCCCAGCTACTCAGACAACTGAGGAAGGAGCATCGACTGAATCCAGTAAGTGGAGGTTGCATTGAGCCAAGATCATGCCATTGCACTGCAGCACGGGCGACAGTGCAAGACTCCATCTAAAAAAAAAAAAAAAAAATTCAGCAGGGCGAGGTGGCTCATGCCTGTAATCCCAGCACTTTGGGAGGCCGAGGCGGGTGGATCACGAGGTCAAGAGATGGAGACCATCTGGCCAACATGGTGAAACCCCGACTCTACTAAAAAAAATATTAGCTGGGCAAGGTGGCGGGTGCCTGTAATCCCAGCTACTCAGGAGGCTGAGGATTGCCTGAACCCAGGAGGCAGAGGTTGTGGTAAGCCGAGATCGCACCATTGCACTCCAGCCTGGGTAACAAGAGCGAAACTCCGTCTCAAAAAAACAAAAAAAAGGTGCTCTTTTGCAAGAATTTCAGGTTGCTTAACCTGGAATTAGATAGCAAGGGGGAAAAAAGAATTTTAGGTTGACCTGTAAGAATAAGAAAAACCTAAGACAGACATGATAACAACCAATCTATGTCCTGTATAACAATTCTGAATAATTGACATAAACCTGCTCATTTAAGAAAAAGAAGTGTTCTAAATGGTAACAATAACCTGTAAGAAATGGAAGAAGTGATGTGGCACTAAAAGGCAAGACTTAATTTGCATCACTTTTACCCATTTTATATTATTTATAAAATTGGCTCATCTATTCATAGATTTTCTCCACAAATTCTCCTGGAAAAACCTTACCAAATATTTAAGGTCTTAGAGTCAAACATTATCCAATATTTGCTTTGTTCCTTGGTTAACTATATGAACAAGACCCCAAATGTTTTTATTTTAAAAGAGAAAACTTATATATTGATGAAGGAACTCAAGACTTATATAAAAGAATGAGAAAATAAGTGAATTCCTTCTATAAGTTTCATGTACTTAAGACCTAAAGCTCACCTACACAGGTATTCTCATGTTCAAATTTAAGTTCAGAAACAACTGAAGGCAAATATGATATCCTCACAAATAACTGTAGCCTGACAGTAACTGATCTTTTTATTTTTGTAGAGACAAGGTCTCACTAGCTGCCTAGGCTGGTCTCGAACTCTTGGCTTTAAGTGATCTTCCCACCTCAGTCTTCCAAAGGGCTAGGATTCAAGGCCTCAGCCACCACTCCTGGCCCTATAACTGACTTTAAATAGTAAATATAACTTTAATGTCTTATTATTCATGCTCTCCCCACAGCTATGAATGTAAGAATTAGTTTTCTTCTATAACTGCAGTGGTGACGGGGAACTGGCCCAATTCTCAGGAAGACAAATTAGAATCAAAATAGTGCCACATTTAATACAAAGTAAATTGGCCACACAGATAATTCAGAGCTAACATTTCAATTCTTCATCTGTTTTCTTTCACTACACTCTCCATATAGCTACCTTCTACATACATGAAGTTTCTAACTCAATCACGACATTTAACTACTTCATTCTTTGGCCCACTACCTAGAAATCCATTTTTTTTGCCTTTTAACAATTCTACAACTAGAATCTCTTTCATTTATGGGATTTGAACAACATAATTAGCTGATATTTATTAAACACCTGTGACATAACCAAAGATTTTTACATAGTAGACAATTTAACCTTAACAATGCTTTTCTCATTATGATTTTTGTGGTCATCCTCACCTCGCAGATAAGTAAATTCACTCAGATTAAGAAATCTGCCCAAAATCTAAATAATCAATAAGCAAAAGATCTAATGTTAGGGCCACATCTGATTCTAAACTCAATACTCTTAACCATTTTATTAATGAAGAAAATGGAAATTATTCTTGTGCCAGACATTTCAAAATGTTTATCATTCCAACTAAAAATACTAATAAACCTACATTGAATGGTTGGGATAAGAGGCTTTTAAGTGTGCAATACACCAAGTGACCTCAAGAGTCACCATCACATTGATGCCAGTTACTAATTTAGTTTCCTATTATTTTGACACAAAAGGCAAAGTATAAACAAAAGCATGTAGCCAAGTGAAGGGTAATTAGTATCTAAATTAATCAAGTTTTCTCTTTTCTTTCTTTGGAGAAAGGGTCTTGCTCTGTTGCCCAGGATGCAGTGTAGCAGCATAATCATAGCTTACAGCAACCTGGAAATCATGGGGTCAAGCAATCCTCCCACCTCAGCTTCCCAAGGTAACTAGGACTATAGACATACCAAACCACGTCCAGTTATTTTTTTTTTTTTTTTTTTTTTTTTTTTGTAGAGATGAGAGTCTTACTATTTGAGCTCCTGGCCTCAAGTGATCCTCCCATTCCATGCTCCAAAAATGCTAGGATTACAGGCATGAGCCACTGCACCCAGCAAGCTTTCAAATAATTTGAAAACTTGGCTCACAAGTCATAAGACAATAGTATACACAGACCAAATGCAACAAATCTATACCACAGAAATTTAAACAAGTTCCTATTGTAAACACTAATTTTAATACCAAAAAATACATAATCTGTTTAAGATCATTTTTATAATGATTGGTGCTATTTGAATTTTGTTGGTTTTTAATGTGTGGGTTTTTGTTTTCGTTTTTTTTTGGACACAAGTGTTGCTTTGTCACCCAGGCTGGAGTGCAGTGGTGCAATCTTGGCTCACTGCAACTGCAACCTCTGCCTCCCCAGTTCAAGCGATTCTCATGCCTCTGCCTCCAAAGTAGCTGGGATTATAGACATGCCACCATGCCCGGCTAATTTTTGTATTTTTAGCAGAAACTGGTTTTACTATGTTGGCCAGGCTGGTCTTGAACTCCTGACCTCTGATGATCCACCCACCTTGGCCTCCCAAAGTGCTGGGATTACAGGCATGAGCAACGACACCTGAATGAATTAATGTTCTCATTTAATTGGCAAATCTATTTCAGTTTACAATACTATGAGTTTTAGTCAAATGAGTTTCACTTATAATTTATATCAATAGCAATCAATATGGTATTTTTATTTTCCCTTTAATGGGGGTTCCCAACATTATTAATATAAAGAACACACTTAAAGAAATGCACTTCACAAATATAAACAATGTCCATGGTGAACAAGTAGTAATTCTAACTTAGACCAAATAAAATGTATTTGTGTCTAGTTTTATCAAGTTGTCTACTCAAATCCTATTAATTTTCCTTTTTCAACCTTGAACACATGTTGCATGACTTTTTTCTTCTTAAAACACTGTTTTCATAAGATATTTTAAAAAGTGGAAGTCATTTCAATATAAAAACAAAGCAATTCATCAATAGAATACTGTCAAAGAAACTCAATGAAGAATTTTCCCCTCCCTTAATTCTGTTTACCAAAGTTCCTATTAATAAAATCAACCCCACTGGCTTTCATTATAATTTACTTCACTGAATGCTATTATTTCACTCAATCTGTATGCTTGTGGCAAGTATCATCAGAATTCTCTAGAAAACGACCCATCTATATTAACTGGTCACTAATTTGCTTTGATTTAGAATGCTCAACAAACCAAAAGAACTATAAACAATGAACCTTTATGCTCTTAAGCAGTGTATCAAACATGAGCTAATATTGAGAAAGCTCATCAAACTACCAAGGAGCTGAAAAAAATACAAATGCTGAGCTGGAAGAAGACCATGCTTAAGCTAATTATTAGTCACTAAAATTTCTCATTATTTAATATCATAAGTAAATGTTAAGCTCTGCCAGTAATATGTTGTCAACATACTAACACAAAAACAGCCTATAGGACTTCTAAATACACACAATCAGTAGCCACTAATTATTAATGCAACTCAACTCAATTGTAAACAAACACTTGAACGTACATCACTCTTTCCTCCTCATCCAAAAAATGAATCAATCAAACAATTATATTAAATTCTCATGGCAGCTTGAATTTCTGTTTTAAATTATTAAGAGCATGGAAATGGACTATTTAATAACCATTAATCTTATGCATCAAACAGATGATCCTGGTTAAGATAAAAACACTATAGAAATCACAGATACAAGCTGCATGAAGGTGTTTCCAGTAAACCCAACTAGGCTCTAAGCAGAATTCAATTTATGTAGCTATATTATAAATGGCTTAATTACTTTCCCCACAGGGTATTTCTCAAATTGGAGTATCATGTTTAAGTCTGCCAGTTTTTGATCTACAAAATTATAGTTTCTGGGACAAATTGCTTTTTCTTTTTATAAATATTATATTTTCATTAGTAAATTTTTACTTACCTGGAAGGAAGTAGCACTAGAAAAGTTCTATTGAAGTCTTTCCTAAAATTCTCTTGTCTTCCTCAGGAACATAGCTATTTTAAATGTTGCAATAGGGAAAACAATACTTGGGAACCCAGGGGGGAAAGTGAGAGAGGAATAGTAAAGTCTGATACAATGAGAGTTTCATTGTATTCCTATGGGCAGTACTGGGAATTTTAACCATTAACCATTCCACAATTAACCATTTCTTTTTTTGTTTATGCAGACACATTTCTTAGTTTACCTAAACACAGTAAAGAGTACATCTTCCTTTTGAACATCTTTTCAACTAGTACTCAAAATCCTTAGACCAACCCTGAAACAGTAGAACCAAAATCTTTATATTAATACATTTTATTCTTATTATTTTCAAATATGTCTTTGTCTCTAAATCATTTCTACGATTATTAAATCAACCCAGGATCAGTACCAATATTATCTATAGTTTTATATGACAAACACTCACTGGCATTCTTGATTTTTAAAATTTACTTTCATTCTAATCAAATCCAAATTATTCCTAATTCCTTAAGAGATTCTATTTAACACCTTCCAGGTGGTTCTATATTCTTATGCAATCAGCTGTTCCCAGAAAAACTGAATAATAAGGAAACATACCTAAGAGAGGAGCTTGGGAGATTTTTTTGGTTGGGTATGTGTGTGTCTGGGCGTGTAGGCCTGGGGAGAGTGGCAGAAATACTAATTTGCAATACAGAAAAAACAATGCCATTCACATGGTTCTAACAAAAGTGCCTGACCACCCCCACCCCCACCCTCAAAAAGCCCTTAAATAAAGAGGGAGAGCAAAAGAAAACAAAATAATTCCCGAGTTTCACCTCATACATACAATACAGCACAGGAAGTGGCAAAGTTTAAAATAATGCCTTTACTGTTACGACTAGTATGCTGTCATAAGCCACAATCCTTTCATTTTAGTGAGTTGTTGATTTTCAATAGAAAAATACAAATGAGTATGTGTTTAAGTTCCAACATGGATTGAGCACCTCTGAATTTGGTATCAAATAATTAAATTTATTTTTCAGATGTCAAATCTTAGTATTAAAAAATTTTTCCATTATTTTAAACTTCACTTAAATCTTTAAAAACCTGTCTAAATTGTACTATGAGTTCAGTGTAATCTTCTTTAAAATGCTATCAAATTGAATTGTCAGCACTCTTTTTTTTTTAAATGGGGGGTGGGTTATTACCAGAACTCTCATTAAGTTTTGAAAATCAGAGGCAAATAATTTCAAATATAAACTAACTCCACAAGCAAATTTATTCAATTATCTTTAACAGTCTATAATATACATATAACCATTTTCACAGGTAAAAACATTAACTTCATGTCACACTATGATCAAAAGTACTTTGACAGTTGAAGTTTTCAACTTCAAACAACTAAAAATTAAGTTTTTGTTTCCTTAGGATTATCTGGCTGCTCTCAAAACTTATAATCATTTTTTAAAAGTCATATTCGAGTATGTTTAATGATACTAATATGTGCAAAGCAACTACTTCGAATCAAATTCTTCTATTCCAAATCTCCTTTCTAAAGATGTGTTACCTTTTTTGTAGCTAAGCACATCCAATACAAATATTTTAAAAATAAAGTTTTGTTCTAGCCTATTTTTTAAAATACAAAAAAGTGAAATCTATAAATATCAACATTTTGTGCCCCTCAAATACAGATAAAAAATTACTTACCCCACACACCTGCAGCTAAAGATTTATTGTGATTTGGTTCTCTCTCATATTCAGGATTTAAAGACGGCTGGAAGAAAATTGGAATAAACATTTCACATTTTAAAAATAAATCCTTTAAAAGCAATCTCAAAATCATACATGCTGTAAACTGATGAATCAAATATGACCAACTCTTAGCTACAGGTTCTTAGTACAGAAAAGCTATAAAATCTGAAACTTTTTGAGTACCAGTGTGACATTCTGCCTACTTACTGAAGCACTTGGATTTTGGATTTTCAGATAAAGAACGTTGAACTACTAAATATAAAATCTGAAAAGATCAAAAATCCAAAACAGTTCTGGTCCCAAGCATTGCAGATTAAGGACATTCAGCCTGTATTAAAGATGAAGTATTCATAAAGCTTACTCTCAGCTTACTCTGCTAACCATTAAAATAGTTACTATCTATACTCATTGCTAGCCAGAGGTAACTACAGTGTTTAATATTTTCCATATCCATAACTAAGAAATAAGCCAGAATTTAAAAACAGGCTTCTTCTGTCTATGGAGTAGCCATTGTCTTATTCCTTAACATTCTTAATAAACTTGATTTAAACAAACACACACACACATACTCTTTCTTTCTCTCTTTCTCTCTCTCTCTCTCTCTCTCTCTCTCTCTCTCAAAAGAATGGAGGTCTTTGGATCAGGCTGAGAAATAATCCCTCCTTAGCATAAGGCTGAGATCAGAGAAGAGGAAAATCAGATCAATTTATTTATTTATTTATTTATTTTGAGATGCAGTCTTACTCTATCAACCAGGCTGGAGTAAAGTGATGTGATCTCGGCTCACTGTAACTTCTACCTCCTGGGTTCAAGCAATTCTCCTGTCTCAGCCTCCCAAGTAGCTGAGAGTACAGGCGAGCAGCACCATGCCCAACTAACTTTTGTATTTTTAGTAGAGGCAGGGTTTCATCACATTGGCCAGGCCAATCTCAAACTCCTGGTTTCAAGTGATCAACCTGATTCAGCCTCCCAAAGTGCTGGGATTACAGGAGTGAGCCACTACACCCGGCCTAATAAGAATTTTTAATTTTTAATAAAAATTCTGTAGATGTGGGGTCTTGCTATGTTGCCCAGCCTGGTCTCAAATTCATGGCCTCACTTGATCTCCCCACCTCAGCCTCCTAAAGTGCTGGGATAACAGGCATGAAGAGCCCCCAGTTCTTAAAGTTTTCATCACTAGTTAACACACTCACTATCAAAGCCAAGTCCAAATTTGTATTTCAACAAGTGATGTTCAGGATTAAACTGAACTTCATCTCACTAAAAAGAAAAGTGAGATGAGTACTGAATAGGTACTCTAAAGCGAATCTTGCTAGATGCATTTATCCTCCAAAATCCTAACTTTCTAGTATTCTATCAGTATTTTTCATATTCCTAGCACACAAACTGCCACATTTAAAGAAGGTACTTAATATATATTAAATAAAATGAATTCTAATATATTTTAATCACCTAGAAATGATTAGTAACACTGTACTGAGATTATTATAAAGCAAGTATATACATGCATACCCCTATGATTTCTTCAGAGGTACAAACTAAACAGAAGATTTTGGTTGTAGTTACATGCGCATAGCATCTTTAAAGTATATTATTAAAAATTACACTCTGCCAAGTCTAGGATTATAATAATGATAACTTATCTTGAGAATGGGGGTGGGATATAAAAATCATAGCAGCAATTAGTTTTTACTGAGTACTTACTATGTGTCACACAGTTTTAATTTAATTGTATTACTAATTTAACCCTCACAACATTATAAAAGTACTATTACCATTCACAGTTTGTTTATACAGTTGACCCTTGAACATCACAGGTTTGAACTGTGCAAATCCCCTTATATCTAGATTTTCTTCCAGCTGTGCCACCTGAAACAGCAAGCAAGACCAACCCCTTCTCTTTCTCCTTAGCCTACTGAACATGAAGACAAGGATCAAGACCTTTATGATGACCCATTTCCACTTAATGAATAGTAAACACATTTCCTCTTCCTTATGATTTTAATATTTTTCTCTAGCTTACTGAGAACACAGTATGTATTACACATAAAAAATATGTACTGATCAACTTTATATTACCATCAAGAGTTTGGTCAGCAGTAGGCTACTAGCAGGTTTTGAGAGCAGTCAAGTTATACGCAGATTAGACTCCGAGGGGAGATCAGTACCCCTAACCTCTGTGTTATCCAAGGGTCAACTGTATTGTAAAATTTCAATGTTATGGTGATTACTGACTGGAAAAAGCAGATCACTAACATGGGAATACAGAGTAATTACACAGTTACTTGATAATAGGACCTAAGAGTAATCTTTTATTTTTCTATCACTCATCACTTCCTGCCCTAATCCAATCTATCAAATTTTTCCTTACTGAAACCTTCCGTCCAAACTACTGCTAAATTATATCCAAAAACTATCTATTTTCACTTATCTCAACTACCCAGTTCAAGCCAATATTTTTTCCTGAATCATTCTCTCCTCCTCTCCTACGATAATCCATTCAAGACCTAAGAACTGTAAAAACTAACATAACATCACAACTCTTCTCTAAACAAGCTTCTCATTAACCTTGAAATCAAACTAAAATTCTGTACTTTGATGACCTGCAAAAATTCCATTCAATTTAAATCCTTTCCTATCTCTCTATCCTAACTTTTATCCCTTAAACATAACAAGGTTCACTGTGATGGCTCATGCCTATAATCCCAGCCCTTTGGGAGGCAGGGGTGGGAGGACTGCTTGAGGCCAAAAGTTCAGGACCAGCCAGGCCAACATAGTGAGCTGGGTGTGGTGGTGTGCATCTATCTGTAGCCCTAGAGGGAGTTACTCGAGAGGCTGAGGCAAGAGGACTGCTTGAGTCCAGAAGTTTGACGATACAGTGAACAGTAACTGTGCCACTGCACTCCAGCCTAGGCAAAAGAATACAGACCCTGCCCTGTCTCAATACCACCACCACCACCACCCCAACACACACGCAAACATGAAAAAAATAAGATAAACCAAGGATTCTCCCATCCTGGCATGAGCTCTCCCCTTCTTCCTTAACAAAACTTGCTCCTTATTATGTCCTAAATTAAATGTCACTTCCTGTCTAAATTCGCTAAAAAACATGACTTGCTTAGAGAACAGAAACTCAGTAAACTGAGTAAGGACTTTGCCTATTTTAATCTGGTATGTATTCTGAGTGCCAAGAACACCAACTGACTCAAGAATCACTCAAATATACTGAATAAGAATTGACAATATATAAAAAGATAAAGTGGGAATTCTACCTAGCTTTTAAATTTCATGAGTCACACGATCTAAATATGACTGTACACTACATCAATTTTTCTGTAATTTAAGAAATATACTATTTTGGCCAGATGCAGTGGCTCTTGCCGGTAATCCCAACACTTTGGGAGGCTGAGGCAGGCGGATCACCTAAGGTCAGGAGTTCAAGACTGGCCTGGCCAACAAGGTAAAACCCTGTCTCTACTAAAAATACGAAAAGTAGCTGGGCATGGTGGCAGGCACCTGTAATACTAGCTACTCAGGAGGCTGAAGCAGGAGAATCGCTTGAACCCAGGAGGCGGAGGTTGCAGTGAGCTGAGATCATGCCACTGCACTCCAGCATGGGCGACAAGAACAAAACTCCATCTCAAAGAAACCCAAAAACAAACAAACAAAAAAACAGTATTTAGACAAATCATATGTGAGACTTAGGAACAAGAAAAAAAGGCTTTGTTTTCATACTTATTTTTAGTAGTAGACTTAACATTCATGATGTATCTGACCTCGAATAACAATTTCTTTGCCTTCCTGAGCACAAAAAAAAAAAGAAAGAAAGAAATCTGAATAAAGAAATAGCTGAAAAGACAAGGAGAACAATCTTGGGATGAACTTAAGAGTCATACACAAATAACCAAGTTATTATTTAAAAGCAACATCTAAAATAAAATGTATTGGTAAAATATGCTTTCCAAATCTTGACAGCTTTTTAGAGACATTAGGCACTTGAAAATACAGCACTAAGCTCATCTACTAGTTCTAAGAAAAACTTCAAATTTCTATGAAGAGTAACAAAACATAAATACACCAAAAACTTTTTAAACCTACATGGTTAGGACTCTGGAATAAACAGCAACACAAGGCTTAAAAAGAAAGAATGGGATAAAGAAAATGGGGTATGGGGGTTAGAAGGATAAAAAACAAAAAGCCCTCACAAAATACAAGGATTAAAAATTGGACAAACGGCAAGGCATGGTGGCTCATGACTATAATCCCAACACTTTGGGAAGCCAAGGCAGGCGGATCCCCTGAGGTCAGGAGTTCAAGACCAGCCTGATCAACGTGGTGAAACCCTGTCGCTACAAAAATACAAAATTTAGCTGGGCCCGGTGGCAGGTACCTGTAATCCCAGCTAGTGGGTGGGCTGAGGCAGGAGGATCACCTGAAGCCAGGAGGCAGAGGTTGCAGTGAGCCGAGATTGAGCCACTGCACTCTAGTCTGGGCAACAGAGCGAGACTCCATCTCAAAAACATACAAACGTACATACATAGATACATAAAAATATACATATAGGACAAATACCTACAGGAATGTGATCCCTGCAGAAAATGAGCTATACTGATAAAATACCATAATAGTACCTTGATGGTATAATAGCACTTACGGAAACTTCATTTGTATAGAAGTTACAGGAAACTTACAAAATCCTCAGCTTCAAACTGTTTGCGTTCTCTCTTGTCTTCTTTCCTCCCGGTTTCATTGTCAGGTATGTTGTTTTCATGTAGTCCTTGGCTTTTTCCAGAATGGAAAATACTGCTACGAGAGCGGGAACTCCCACCATGGTATCCCCCACGATGATTTATGTTTTCCGTACCATTTCTTCCATGTGTACGCCATCCATTTTTTTCTTTCCTTCCAAAGTTACCTTTATTTGGTAATAGTAAAGTAATGTAAATTCAAAGAAGAAAGTTAGGCTTAAGGAGTTAATCACATCAAAATATTCTTTAAAAATCATAAAGTTAGCCATAAACATCATTCCTTGGCAAATTTTACCTCCATTAGGACGTCCAATAGCAGAATCAAAGCCATCTGAAGAGTTGTGTCGTCGACGATTCACATCATAACGATTCTCTGTCCATGCAAAGTTTTCAGAATGTTTCTCAAAATTCAATGACGACTGAAACAAATTATAAAAAATACAGGTAAGCATTTACAAAACCTAAATATAACTTTAAAAACCAGTAATACTCCAATTTCACTTATTTCCAAGAATTTTAAATGGTTAAGAGAAACATTTTGCAGTTATTTTCAAGGTATTTGATAATTGGGTAACTCTAAATATGTATGATGGATTCACTGTTGGTCCATTTTCTTCTACCTAATGGAAACAAGCACACGTTCTTAGAAAGAGTTCAACATCTTTTTTTCCAAAAAACATAAAGGTAAAATGCCATTACAATGGAAAACAAGTTAAAATATGATATGCTTCTTGTATAACAAAACGTTAAGTGTAGTGTATCACATACTACTTGATATAAACATTTCCACTGCAGCTCAAAGTTCTCTTCTACATCAGAGATAAACTGTCAAATGAATCTTCAGTTTTAAGTTCCTTAAAGTTATTTCCACATTCCTTTTCCCCAAACCAAATGTATTTAAAAAGGTATCAAAATAAAAGAACGTACAATGCTATTCCAAAATATTAGAAATACAGAAAAGTTCTAACAATGTATAAAAGTCACTAGCCCCAATATCAATCTATTAATCTGATAAAAGTCACAATCAAAACTCCTAACAGTTTAAGAATTTAAACAGATGGACTCAGTAATCTAAAAAGAAAATGCATGAAAATTATCAAAAAATGTTTGAAAAGGGCCGAAACTGTGGCACGCACCTGCAATCCCAGAACTTTGGGAGGCCGAGGCAGGCAGCTCACCTGAAGTCAGGAGTTCAAGACCAGCCTGGCCAACATGGGGAAACCCCGTCTCTACTAAAATTAGCTATATGTGGTAGCACACGCCTGTTGTCCCAGCTGTTCAAGAGGGTGAGACAGGAGAATTTGCCTGAACCTAGGAGGCGGAGGCTACAGTGAGCTGAGATCACACCACTGCACTTCAGCCTGGACAAGACAGAGAAAGACTGTCTCAAAAAGAAAAGAAAACAGAGCTCTATAAGTCAATACAAATAAAGACAACCCAATGGGAAAAATGAGTAAAGGATACAAAAAGGCAATTCTCAAAAATATGAAGAGCCGGGCCACGCACAGTGGCTCACGCCTGTAATCCCAGCACTTTGGGAGGCCAAGGCAGGCGGATCGCGAGGTCAAGAGATCAAGACCATCCTGGCCAACATGGTGAAATCCCGTCTCTACTAAAAATACAAAAAAAAAATTAGCTGGGCATGGTGGCGCACGCCTGTAGTCCCAGCTACTCGGGAGGCTGAGGCAGGAGAATTGCTTGAACCCTGGAGGCGGAGGTTGCAGTGAGCGGAGGTGGCGCCACTGCACTCTAGCCTGGCGCCTGGTGATGGAGCAAGACTCTGTCTCAAAAAAAAAAAAAAAATGAAGAGCCACCAATCACATGAAAACATAGTCAGGTTCTCTTGTAATCAAAATGCAAAATCAGAACAAAGTTGGCAACTCTTGCCCATTGGGAAAAATATAATGATAGTAAAGGTTGAAAAAGACAGATAATTGGTTTTTTTGTTTTTTTGTTTTTTTTTGGAGATGGAGTCTCACTGTCGCCCATGCTGGAGTGCAGTGGCGCGATCATGGCTCACTGCAACCTCCCCCTCCCAGGTTCAAGTGATTCTTGTGCCTCAGCCTTGAGGAGTAGCTGGAATTACAGGCACCACCACCACACCCAGTTAATTTTTGTATTTTTAGTAGAAATGAGATTACACCATATCAGCCAGGCTGGTCTTGAACTCCTGACTTCAAGTGATCACCCACCTTGGTTTCCTAAAGTGCTGGGATTACAGGCGTGAGCCACCACGCCAGGGCCAGACAATTATTTATTACTAGGTTAGAAAACACACACACATTTATATGTATACTTACTTCTCTCTCACTCAGTAGGGACTGAAATGCAAATGTGTATCTGTACTTATGTCATCTTTAAAGTCTTTATAGTTATATTAGTTCTTTTTTTTTCAGTCTTGCCTGTATTTCAGTGGATTCTAGCACCATATAGTATATTTAAGTTTTTTTGTATTATGCCCCAAAAATAAGCAGATGACATTTATACTACAAATATTTTTCTACAGCTTGATTTTTTTTTAAGTTCCTTACAGAAATTTCTCCTGCTGAAATCTGGGTAAAATAAAGAATGAGTTGGGGGGGTGATGTTTTTCCCCTTAGAGACAGAGAAATATTTGCAATATAAATGGCATCTGCACAGTTCTGGGGTGCCATACAAAAAAATTTAAATAAAAAATATAAATGTTAAACATAACCCCTAATATGAAAGGAGCTATAAATCACTATGAAATAGACTACATCATGGGCTGGGCATGGTGGCTCATGCCTGTAATCTCAGCACTTTGGAGGCCAAGGCGGGCAGATCACAAGGTCAGGAGATAGAGACCATCCTGGCTAACACGGTGAAACCCCATCTCTACTAAAAATACAAAAATCAGCCAAGTGTGGTGGCGTGCGCTTACAGTCCCAGCTACTCGGGAAGCTGAGGCAGGAGAATCACTTGAACTCAGGAAGCAGACGTTGCAGTGAGCTAAGATTGCGCCATTGCACTCCAGCCTGGTGACGGAAGGAGACTCCGTCTCAGGAAAGGAAAAAGGAAAAAGAAAAAAGGAAAGGGAAGGAAAAGAAAGAAAAAAGAAAAGAAGAGAAAAGAAACAGACTACATTAACAAGCAATTCTGAGAAAGTTTCTAACACAAAAACATGCTCAATCGTAATTAAGTGATGCAAATCAAAATGAAATACCATCATTCATCTAATTTCACAAAAATGTAAAAATGAAAACATCCAGGGTTGCTGAGACTGAAAAAAACAAAATTGTAATGGGATTTTAGGTAGATTCAAACTATTTGGCGAGCAATTGGGCATTACCTACCAAAATGTACAAACATTCTGACCCAGCAATTCTGCTGCTAGATATTTACCTTAGCATTATATTCAAGAAATGCCCAGGTATTTCTACAGCTGAGTCCATTAATAGGTAATTATATAATTCATGTAAATCCACTCAATAGTTTATACAGCCACTGAAAAGAGATGAATTCCCTATGACTGACTATAGAAAGACGCTAGAGATGGTATCCTTGAAGAAAAGGAAAAAAAAAAAAAAGCTATCTCATCTGTTTATCCAAACTAGGATAAAAACATATTCTGGCATATGCATAAAAGCATCCTAACATTTCACTTCTGAAACCTAGTCTGCTATCCTAATAATCAAGAAAAGAAAGTTATGAAACTGATGAATTTTCAAGTCTGACACATTCAGCTTCCTATTCCAGCTCTAGTACTTTTCAGCAAATTTCTTAATCTCTCAACCTGAGTTCCCTCACCTGTAAATGATGGGCTAGAGGGAGATAAGAGTGTCTACCATGTTAAGATTTTTGTTACCTTTTATAGTGTTTTATTACAACAAGTAAGGCAAAGACCAACTTCCCGCTTACGTTGTCTGTCTTTCTGGATTGTTTTTAAAAAAAAATAGTTTTAAGGCCAGGTGCAGTGTCTCAAGCCTATAATCCCAGCCTGGGCAACATAGTGAGAACCTGTTTCTACAAAAATTAAAAATTAAAAAAACTAACTTTAAAAAATTAATAAAAAATTTTAAGATTAAAATTAGAAAAAAAACTTTTAATATTTTCTCTAAAGCCCAGAATACCCAAATAAACAATAAGCCAAAAAATCTACATGGTAAACCTCCACGGAAGTTTCAATGAACACTGCCTATGTGCCTTCAGAAGAGCAAAAATCAAAATAAAAGTTTCAATGAACTCAACTAGCAATCTGATTGAATTTTCTGATCCTTTTAGGTTAAAAGTACAAATAGCATACATTTTCATCACAAGCTGACATTGCTCACACAGTCAAAGGAAAGTTTTGGTACAATAATACTAATTTTTTTAACACTGCCATAAAAGAATAAAAAATGTTGCTACTACACATTAGAGATAACTACAGATTAGTGAATGCAAATATGAAAATGCATTAATCATAGTAAAGTTTAACCATAACACATTTTTTATTTTGTTCTGTTCTTCTGTTTACAAAGAAAAAAATCCTCCAGATTTCTATTTCATACCATTCATCTACCCTTTTAATACCACACACCCCTGAAACCTTTTATCAAATAATTATGAAAATACAGCATCCTGTTTACAGGGATTATTCTGTCATCCTTCCTAGCATAACCTATGGAATCTGCTACTTATCTAAATTTTTCAGTATCTGTAACTGCTTTCGTTCAATATTCTTTCAGCAATACTTTCAAACTGCTGGTCAGGACTTATTAACGAATTATGAGATCAGTCACGACGGGCATTTTTTTAATGGAATAGAAAAAGAGAAAACCACAGAAGAAAACATTAGTGCACCATAGGTATATGAAATTTGTATTGTGTAAAATATCCTTCTCACTGCAGGTCACAACAGTTTAAAAGTCACTGCTCTAAATCAAAGATTTATAATCAGCCCCATGCAGTTCAAAATTTTACCACATGATGGGGCTAAAGTTCCACACATCGCAAAACTACCACTGTACAGTTCTGAAAACATTTTTACCCTTAATTCAAGTCTTCATGTCATCTTTTCAAACAAAAAATAAATACTACCATTTAATTTAAATAGAGAATGCAATAGTAATTAATGTCTGTTCCAGTTAGGAAGAGATTAAAGAGAAATGATGTGGGTAAACAAGTCTATGGCAGAAAATGAGATTAATTACAAACAGAATTCATAAACAATGATTCTGAAAGAGGAAAGAATAAGATGAGAAGGTATAATAAAAGTATCACTGGAAGGTATGTGTTTGTCAAAACCACTCTGGGCAAAGAAACAAATCTTAAATACTGCTAGTTAAGAGTTTAAATTGGGCCGGGCACAATGGCTCATGCCTATAATCCTAGCACTTTGGGAGGCCGAGGCAGGTCGATCACCTGAGGTCAGGAGTTCAAGACCAGCCTGGACAACATGGTGAAACAGCACCTCTAC